GTCGCGTCGCCGCCGGCCGCTCGGATTTCCGCCGGCCCTCGGGGGAAACGGCCGCAGCGCCGCAAACTTTCCCGGGGAATTGATGGCGAGCCGGCGAGCGGGCGCAACATTCCAACCTTTGTAAGTTTTGCCAGGAGCCGGCATCGGTCCTCGCCCGCACCCGAGGAGGGCGTTTGCGGCCGCGGCTGCACCCAGCAAAGTCGAGCTGCGACTCGACCCGCATGACGTCTGCTCGCCTTTGACTTCCCCGTCGACCGCAACCTTTCGGCTTCGTCCCCACCAAGTCCCGCGGAAAGTTTCCAGCTCGCCTCACTTTTGGAAGCTTGTCCGAGTCGAGCTGCGGCGCCCCCTCACCGGGTCGCCTTTGACCCTTCACGTCTGCCTTGAGGGACGACGACCAAGAGGCCGCGCTCAAGTCTGCGGCCGCCGGCGTACGATAGCTCACGTAAATCATCTTCGGCGCGTTGGTCGGAGGTGAGCCCAAGCCTTACCGTGCCGCCACCGTCCGGAATGTTCCCCGGTTTGTGTCCGCGTTCTAATAAACTCGATTTCTCGTCTTTTTTAACTTCCGGGAATGCTTCGTCGACGCAAACACAATATGGAGCCAGCGAACGGAACGTTCATAAGTGGTCAATGGCATACCTGAAAACACACAAACTACTACTGTGAATGGAAGAAAATGAGCATCACGTGAAAAAAAAAAACATTAATACACGCACACGCCATGTAACAACCAAATATGTAAAATTTTGCACACCGATATGGGGGGGTGGGGGGTTTAATCAATCACATGAAAGAAAAGGAGAGAACGCAAAGTCAATCAAATACATCTTGGCATCATGAAATGAATGACTTTTTTTTTTTTTTTTAATGTCACATTCCAGCCACGGGCAAGTCTTTTCTGACTCCGTCCCCAAAATATTTCCCCCATTCAGTTATTCGACATAAATTGACGTAACACAGCGTGAATGGCACTGACTTGTTGAAGATCGCTGGTGCGAGATTTCTTCTTGATACGAAGAAAGGAAATGATGAACCAAGTTGAGCTGGAGGTCAGGCTGCGCTTTGAGGATCCCAAGAAAAGAAATGATGGCGATCCACCCTCGTTGGCAGCAGCTCGCTTGCAGGGCTTTGCGGTCCGATCCGAGTGGGCCAAATCAAATCCCACTTTCCTGGAATGCAGCGTCAATTGCCGTGCGAATGAGAAACCAAGTAGAAAAAACAAAACGAAGATGAAAAGGGATGGGCAAAACGAGGCAAGAAAATGAACCGTCAAAGTGTGCGAAGAAAACAGTTCCGATATGAGTTGAGAGCAATCTGAACATACTTTTGGGTTCGGTTTAAAATAAAAATAGTGTCACGCGTCAAGAAAACCACTTGGATTTGAATTTTTTGTACTTGGATCCGCGGTCAGACAAGCGAAACGGTGACGTCGTCGGGTACGTTCCGCCTCGACCGCTTCACGTTTGGCTAGCGTCCATGTCACGTGACGTGCAGCTCAGTCAGACTCGATCGATCGATCGATCGATCGCGGTATCCGCTCTCTTCCGCCGCATCGATGAGCGGGCTAGCGGCTGGGTGTTAGCCGAGCGAAGGAGAACGTTTGTCCCGGTCGGCCTACTCTCGTCGCCTCTTTGTCGGCCCGCCGACGGACGCGATGCGAGGCGTCCGCGCCTTCGAGCCGCTGCTGGCCGCCCTGGCGGCCCTCGCGACGACGACGACGACCGCCGCCGCTCTAGCGGATGGAGCTCCGCCCTCCAGAATAGGCAAGAGCGCGAGCGACCCGTTCTTCGGCTCTTTTCATCGGCGCCTCCATGATGAGCTGTGCGCGTTGTCGCGCCGATTCCTCGTTCCGTTCGATCGTATTCTCCGAAGACACCGATTTGTTTCGCTCGACAGTTGACGACCTTATTCGGCCTTGAAAGGCTTTTCGAATGTTCACAATCCAAATCCGAAACGGACCTTCGTTGTTATTTTTTCAAAGATATGGTCCTTGCGCGTTTCCTTTCCATTCTGGCTCTCGGCGCGTCCGTTCAGCACGGTCGAGGAGGAGACGGGCACTCGCGCGACACCCGAGAAAGCGATGACCCGGCGGTCTCTCGGGGTCGGGGCTGAGATCACGTCCCGAGCGGAGGAGTTCGAGTACCTCGGGTGAGGCGAGGAGGATGCGGCTGGAGATCCACACGCGGGTCGCGGAGGCGCTGCCGACTCTGCGTCGGTCCGCCGCGGCGAAGAAGCAGCCGAGGCGGAAGGCGAAGCCGTCTGTCGGCGTATCGGTCGAGCGACGCGCCTCCCTCACCCGCGGGCGCGAGCCGTGGCCCGCGGGCCAAAGAGCGAGAGCGCGGGACGGACGTCGCCCTCACGGTGCGGCGCCGTCTCGTCTTTTCAGCGGTGGTGGGCGCGGGCATCGGGGGCAGCGCCGCGGCGCACTTCCTGCGGCAGCACTTCGGGCCCGACGTGCAGCTGGACGTGTACGAGAAGGGCGAGGTGGGCGGGCGCTTGGCCACCGTCACCGTCAACCGGAACCGCTACGAGTCGGGCGGCTCCATCATACACGCGCTCAACCTGCACATGCACGACTTCGTCAAGCGGCTCGGTGAGCGGCGCCCAAACCGGGGCAGACTCGCCCGCACGCAAGCGACGCTGACGATGCCCGCGTATGCGCGCCCCGCAGGGCTGAAGCAGCGGCGCGGCGTGGCGGGCAAGACGGCGGTGTTCGACGGCGCGTCGGTGGTCGCGGAGGAGACGGACTGGTACCTGCTGGACCTCCTGCGCCTGTGGTGGCGCTACGGCAGCAGCTTCATCCGCCTGCAGATGTGGCTGGAGGACATCATGGAGAAGTTCATCAGGCACGCACGCTCGCACGCACGCTCGCGCCTCCAGGCGGGCGCCGGCCTTCCGCTGAAATGAGCGGTGACGCCATTTGTTGGCGGAATCTCGGTGGAGTGCGACGGGCGAGTCGGACAAAATAGTGCCCAGGCGCCCTCTTGTAACACCTGCGCTCTGCCTCGCAGGATCTACAAGTACCAGGCCCACGGTTACGCCTTCAGCTCGCTGGAGGAGCTGCTGGAGTCGCTGGGCGGCAGCGGCTTCGTCAACATGACGCGCCGGCCTCTCTCGGATTCGCTGCTGGAGCTGGGCGTGTCCCAGCGCTTCATCGACGAGGTGGTGGCGCCCGTCATCAGGCTCAACTACGGCCAGAACGTCAGCGTGCCCGCCTTCGTAGGTCAGAGGCCTCAGCTCGCAGCGGGACCTACCTCGGCAAAGGGCCGCACTGAGCGCGCGGGGCTCACCGTTTTGCCGCCGGAAGGCAACCTGAACCGTTGGCGATTCACGTCTGCGCCTTTGAAAGGAGGCCGCTGCTCTTTCCTTGCAGAAGGACGTGTGAAAACATCGAAGCGATCACTTTGCCCGCCGCCTTTGACGTCCGCCGCTGTTGCGTCCGCAGGCGCCGTGTCGCTGGCGAGCGCCCAGTCCAACATGTGGGCGGTGGAAGGCGGCAACAAGTTGCTCTGCGAGGGCCTGCTCGAGTTGGCCAACGCCAACCTGCTGAGGGCGCGCGTCACCTCCGTGAGGACGCTCCGCTCGGGTAACGAAGCTTGCACGCGCAGAAGTCAACTTTCCTCGACCCGGCGACCGGCGTCGCCAGCGTTTGCTGGCCCTGCCCCGGGTCCTCTTTTCGTAACTGACCTTTTTGACTTGGTAAAATGTCGCAGTGCTTTGACACTTGACTTTCTTCACATTGGACACGTCCAGGCTGGAATGTAACCCCCCCCAAAATAATAATAACGATAAATCAGCCGCTGCTTTGGGCAGAGCCCTTCTTTGTGCGAGCTGGCAGGCCTCTCCCGCTTGTCCCCGCAGGCGAGGCGCTTCAGTACGAGCTGACCCTGGCGGGCGAGGGGCCGGAGCGCCGCACGGCGGCGTACGACGCGGTGGTGGTGGCGGCGCCGCTGCGGGCGGGCGCCGGCATCTCCTTCCCGGACTGGGCGTCGCCCTCCGTGCCCGGCGAGGGCGAGTGGCAGGGCGCGGGGGTCACGCTGGTGCACGGCTACCTCAACACGTCGCTCTTCGGCTTCCGGGACGCGCGGCTCTTCCCGTACGCCGGCGTGCTGACCACGGCGGCGCCGGCGCTCTTCTTCAACAGCGTGGCCGGCGTTTATCCCGTGGAGGTGCCGCCGGGCTTCCGCCGCAAGCGGGCGCACGAGGCCGCCGTCTACAAAGTCTTCTCGCCCGCCGCGCTCACCGGGGAGCAGCTCAAGACGCTCTTCAGGTGAGACGGCGAGGCGCGCGGGCCTTTCGGGCCGCGTCCGACGCCTCCCCTCCGCCCCGCAGGTCGTACTACTCGGCGCAGGCGACGGAGTGGCGGGCGTACCCTCGCTACGGCAGCGCGGCCGGCGCGCATCGAGTGGGCGGGCAGCGCCATGGAGATGAGCGCCGTGGCCGCCAAGAACATCGCCCTGCTGGCCTACCGCCGCTGGAACGGGCGCAGTCTCCAAGTGAACCGCGAGGACCTGCTGCGCGCCATCAAGACTGAACTCTGACCTCCGGGAGGCCCGCCCGCATCCGGACGGTCGGCCGCTTTCCAAACGCCCCTCGCGCCGTGTCTCCGGCGGCTCCAGCTCACCTTCCGCGTGAACTTTTGAACGACTTTAACGTTTAATGCAAAAAAATGCTTTCATCAACCGATGGACAACCAACCCGAACATTTTTTACTCCCTTTGAAATTTTGTGAAACTATCAGCCCCGGCCGGTTGAGACGACACTTGATGCCAACAGGAAGACAAGTTACATGTTCTTTTAAAAAAATAAAATAAACTCCTTTGCGGGATTGGAATTCACATCTTTTTCAACTTCATTCTTTTCACTTTTGCTGTTGTCATTTCTGCACTGTCCATTTGAAACGTTATTTTCGATTGTTTTTTTGGGAGGGGGGCTGGCGGGCTTAAAATTGATTGATGAGTTGCAAAAAGTGACAGGTTCATTGACTGTTCAACATGAACAAAACCCAATGTAAATGTTCATTAATGCTTTTCCAAATCGTGTTCTCGGCATCAAACGTACAGGTTGAAAATGAAACATTTGAATAAAAATCGTGTTGAATGTAGCAAGGCGCAAACAGAAGTTGGACTTTATTTTATGGTTTTGTTTGGTGTCTTTTTTTTTTTGTTTTGTTTCTCCAAGTGGACGCAAATTGTGTTTCTGGTGCGGAAAGCGGATTTGATCCGGCCGCTCCCATTGGCTGAGCCACGTACCACGTGAGCAGGTAGTCACGCGCCTTCCAGGAAGCCACAAAACAAAACAAAACAAAACAGCGAGCAGCAAACTCGGCGACAAAACGAAAGAAACGCGCGAGCGAGCCAACCGAACCCCGTTGCGAGACCGGACCGAGCCTGCGAGCCGGACGCCAGCGCGGCCCGCCCGGAAGTGAGTCGGTGAGTGCGCGAGTGAGACGCCGTTTGCGGGAAACCGAGCGAAGGTTTTGCGCCTTGGCGATTTCGGCCGCCGCGGAGGATTATTAGCTCGGCGGCTAGCCCGCCAGCTAGCGAGCGCCCTCTCCTCGTTCCGCATTTAAAACACGACGAGGGGGGCGGAGGCCTTTGGGTTGCGCTTGCTCCGTTGCTGCCGCTTGGTTTTCCAAAGAACGTAACATTTGAAGCGCACATGAGGTGGGCGTAGCTGGTCACGCAGCCTCCGCGGCGGCCCAGCAAACAAAAACAAAGAACCTTTGATGCTTTCCACGCGATTGGAACACCGTCTCGTCTTCATTGGGAGCATTTCGCAGGCGTGGGGAGCCGTCTAATTGCCGGGCACCGTGGCTGCAAATCAATGACGTAACAAGACAGAGTCCACTTTTGGACACGCACGCCCGGTTTCGATCGGGGCGTTCAGTGTGTTCAAGTGGATCGCGTGGAACGTTGACTTCTGCTGCCACGGTACACGCCCCCCAACACACACACACACACACACACACACTTACACACACGCTAGAACATTCCCTCCACGTTGCCTCGCTTTGTTTTCCCTTCAAGTTAAAAAACAAACAAACAAACAAAAAAAGCGGCCACATTCGGCCGAACGTGTTTTGGGAGCCAACTTGGTTTTGGACGTCGCGCGAATGCGGATATTTATTCGAGCAGTTTCACCGCCAGCAATTAGCAGCTAGCACTGAGAGCGCGCTGGTCGGCGCTCAAGTGTTGACTTGTTGTCGGCGTGTGAACGTTGTCGAGCGTTTTCTGCGTCTGTGGCCCAACGCTGGCGAAATGTTCGAATGTAGGCCAGCCAGCCACAAGCAGGCCTCCGACTTGTTTATCTTCAGCCTCAACCCACCTTGAAGCGAGCTCGTTGGTGAGAAGGAGCGACGGCGAGCTCGGCCAATGGGATGAGCGCGGGGGCGGGCCGCCGCCGCGCCTCGCCCAATGGAAAAGGGACCTCGCGTGGGTGTGGGCGCCGCGCGGTAGGTTGAGGCTTTGTTTTGCTCCTGCGAGGATGTGAGCGCCGCACCATCTTACGGTGGCCTTGGAAAACGTCCACGACCTTTTTTTTTATTTCTTCCGTCGTTGTCAAACTCTTGGATAAATATCGTTTTGTGTCTTGGACGGGGCAAGTCCGTCGCCGAGCACACCCGCCCAATCGTCGCGCGCTTCCAGCAAGATTCACGCCATCGGCGCAGGTCCGCCGCGTCGGGGACAAGCCGCTGTCAAAAGTCGCGTCGACCGAGGCATGATGGGCACGTGCCTTCGAACGATACGGTCAACCCCCGTTTCTCGCGGGGGTTACCTTCCCAAAAGCACCCGCGATAGGTGAAATCCATGAAGTCGACTCGGCAAATCATTCGGGACGACAACGGCGACGACAATCCGATCCTTTTGCTGAAAATGTGGGCGAAGTTTGCCTCGCAATGTTTGACGCTCGGACGGCAGATTTCTTCCCCGATGCCGTTGTGGTTGTTGTCATGTCATGTTTCTGTTGTGTGCCGTCTTTTGAGCAGATCGCCTCAAAGTAGGTCGTGCGGAATCCCGACAGCGAGTCTGCCCTGTTTCCCCCTCGCCTCCCTCCCTTCGACCGTCCTCGCGCCGCTGGGACCGGACCCTGGGCCCAGAGGTTCCCCACCGCTGGAGCGCTAAGCTGCCCCTTGCGATGCCTCAGGTGGGCATGTAGCACTGACCGTGACTATCGTGCCCCGGCATGTGGGCAAGGAGAGCCCCGGGCGCCCCTCATCAAACGGAACAAAATGAAATGCCTTGCGAGGAGCCGCTGTAGCCCACGATGAGCGTCCATTCACGAGACGAAGCTGATCGACTTGGCTCCGGCCCGTCACGAGGCCACACCCCTAAAATGCACACGCACGACTACCAAGTCCATCCAATAATTGCACTTGAGCTCAGCAGTTGACTTTTCAACCTTGTCTTTGTGTGTGTGTGTGTGTGTGTGTGTACGCGCACCGCAGCCCAGCGTGAGTGGGATGGAGCTTCCCTTTGGGGACGACTTTCAGCACTTCTCGTCAGCGGACCAGGCGCTGACCAGCACCGAGCTGCTCACCAACACCTCCGACCCCGACTTCATGTACGAGCTGGTGAGTGAGCGAGCGCCACGGCGCCCGCGCCAGAACTCTCCGCCGTTCTTTCATCGACGACGTCAATAACGTCAGTCAAATCTGTTTTTCGGTCAAAAGCCTTCTCACCGGTCACCGGTGCAAACTTTGTGAGCTGTGTCCGGCAACGGGGCCTGTTTCATTTCCAATTTGTAATCGTCATCCTCCCCCGGCCCCTCCCAGGACAGAGACACGAGTCAGCGACAGAGTCCGTACGCCGAGGGCCCGGTGGGCGCGGCCGACGGCGCCAAGGACGCTGACGCGGGCGCCGACCAGCAGCT